GTCATCTGACTTCCAACTAAGTAAAAGATAACTGTCAAATGCAAAACTGAGAGTGAGTGCAAAACTGTAACATCTGCCTTAATTTACATTTTTGTCTGCTGGTTTTTTTATTGTTGTTGTATTGACTTCAAATCATTATGAGAGAGGGAGTAGGGATGTACCAACAAGAATATTCAACAAAAGGATGAAAGTCGTTAGAACTGGGAAATATAGCGGTGGCTGAAACAAAAAGTGTTAAACCATGTTACAGTTTTGCTCGTCACTGTACATACATTTTAATTATAAAACAAATAAAAAATTCTGCAATACACAAATCACCTTGCATGCCACCATAATCACGAAAAATGACAAAATCTGTAGATGAGGGTATAAAACCAGTTTGAAAAAATTCCTCGCCCATTGCAGTAGCAAACAGATGTGGCACACGTTTATAATAATTGATGAGCCATGAGCTGTCAGCGGCGTATTGAAAAAGAAGCTCACGACCACGCGATCCACAAGCATCCAAGTTGATTACCACTCTTAAAGACAGCTTAAAATTAGTTAATATTATAAATTTACAAATATGAAAATAATCAAAAAGTTACTTGCAGTTCTTCGCCCATTTGTGTTGTGTAACAAATCCATGCGATCCATATAACCATGCCTCTTCAGCGCCATTGAATAAAAAAACTATGGGATGCTCGAGTGGTCCATCAGATTTTGCAATGACGCGAAACACTTCCAACACAGTCGACACCATCGAACCATCATCCGATGCACCTGGACTGCTAACCGCGCTATCGAAATGCGCATTTATGAGCAAATAATTCGAACTCGTATTGTTTTTCGCGCTCAATTTCGCCACCACATTTTGCACGCCTTGGTACAAGCGCGTGCCCAAGTATTCACCGGACGCAACTTGCGTATCCACTTCGATAACAAAATAATCGCTCGCTACTTTTTGTATATTTTTAATCTCGTTCAATATTAGTTCTATCGCGTTGACTTCGTTAGCTTCACTGCCGAACACTCTCGGTCCGAGTTTGGTTAAATTGAGCAGTATATCTTCAGCTCGCTCGCCAATGAAGGAATCGGGGTGCGCTAATTCATCGGCACGTGTGCGAGTTGTGGGCAGATAGTTGACTTGAGTGAGCACTACGGCCAGGTAAAGTACAACCCAAAAAGCTGTATAGATGGGTGCATAATACCACGGAAGTTTTTTGTGCTGTTTGTTTTTTGGCTGTGCCTATGTATGTAAAAGAGAACATAAAAGGAAAGTAAAAAACAAACCGCTTTATTGGCTTTTTAAATATCGTTAATATTCTTGGGGTATTATAACTGGCTCTATCGATTGGTTAAGGAATATATAACTAAGTTAAAGTTGCTGCCTAGACTAGTCCCCCAGTAGCCTAATACACAACGCATTCGTCAGCTTTTGTTTTGTTTAAAGTTCGAACTTTAACGATTTGAAGATTAGTGAGGTGGCCAAAGGACACCTGTTCGTGGCGTTGATCGACGGAATCAGCAAAATGGACAGAAGGTGGCTTGACAATGGAAACTGACGGATGAACCTAATAAACGTGCGCGGTGGTTTTTTCGGGTAGTTAAGATTTTCAAATGCCACGATGACTTCAAGCTGAAACCGGTGATGATAGTCGTGCCCTGCTACCAATTCAGCGCCAAAATCTCCTCATCAATACAGGCGTTTGGAAAGCGCCGGCTTTAAGAAGGTAGAAGACAAGCTCCACCCAAAAATTAGGGAGATGTGTTGAGTCACGGGTACTCTATAACTACGCCTCAAAACCGAAGGACAGTAACGTGGAAGCCCAATTGGCTAAGGATTTACATAAAGTCTTTGGGCTGGAATTAGTAACCGAGGATACGCTTGCTGTCTAACTTGACCAGGATGCGGTGATGTAAGTAAAGTGGAGAGAAGTAAACCAGACGAGTTGCTTTGCAAAGTTCCTATATGTATGTACATACAAACGAGCACCAATTAATTTTATTTAAAGAAATGGCGTGTCGTCTATTTCCGCTGTAGCGAACGTAGTACATAGGGCGACATCTAGATGTCATCTACCTCGCCCTATTCACTACAGATGTCGCCCTATGCACTCGACTTTTC